TATCAGTAACTCGTATTAGTAATATTGTTCCTTAGTACTTTTATTATGCATATAATTAGTATGAGTGCTTGAACCCTAGACAGGAGGATTTTATTTACGGAAGAGCCCCCACGAAATGCTCCTTGCTCTGCGAAATTCCCATCTCTCCTTATTCTGGACCGAGAAGGACTCTCGACGATCCCTGTCTCTGCCTGCTGGAATACGGCTTTCGGCAATGATGTGGCGTTTCATATCCCTATAATCATAACAACGATAATCGACGCGACAGTGGCACTTATAAAATGATGATAATCTTTGGTTTAGGATCTACAGTTGAGCTCTAGGGTGTAAGGTGATGGTTTGGGATCTGGTGTCTGGAGCCAGGGTTTGCTTTCTTTGTATGTTCGTGTAATATGGCTGTAGGGTTTGGGGTTTGAGGGTTTAGAGTACTGCTTAACAATGAGTTCGGCACCAAGGAGGTTCCCTGCTTAATATTTCCGTGCATTGGTACCCAACGTCCCTGCATGTAGACGCTGCAACGATGGCTGGCTAGCCCATCATATGGGAGTTTCCGAAAATTAGGGGTACCTTATTTTGGGGTCCTTATAATAAGGATCCTACTATTTAGGGTACCATATTAGGGTCCCCTATTTTCGGAAACCCCCCTATCTGTTTCATTGCAGCTTGAATCCCAGACCTGAGCCCCATAGTTCCACACGGCCCGCTGAGCAAGTTCCAGGGCCCGATCTCTTCGAAGTCAACCTTTAACCAAAACCTATAGATCCTCGTCCCTGGATCCCAGATCTTGAAATCCTGTGCTTTTGTGTCCCAAGCCCTTCATCACGAGCTCGAAGATGTGAGAGTCTAGCCTAGGGTGCGAGGATGAGGCTTCGTTTCAGGCATCTTGCAGCCGAAATCCGAGACAGCTGGCTGCCGACAAGGGTTCCTAGGTCCTTCTCTGCTAGTTGTTTAGAGTGATCTTTGCCCATGCCGTGCCTAGCACAAGGCCTGCAGGAGGCTCCACGTGCAAACTCCCGTGGTCCCACTCTTAGGATTCTTGTATTCAATATTCTTCACACATATACAAATTTTACTATATTGTGTTCATGCATATGTCCATAGACAGACTTGCCACTTTCTCCCTGGTCCTATATGACCGTACTCTTTCACTTCCTCGTGTTCAACCCACTTAATCTCTATGTGGGTATGTGTGTGTGTGTATACAGATACATACATGCATACATACATCCGTGCATTCAGGTATACACATATGTAAACCCACACCTATACCGATGCATATGCATCGACGTAAACAGAGCCATAGACTTAGTAGGCATGTACGTGCACATTTATACTAGACTATACATGTATACATGTACGTACAGATATACCTGTACATGTAGATGCACATATGCACATATACATACATATAAAAAATGCATGTATATGTTTAATACATACGTGCATGCATGCATACATACATATAGATATGTACGTATGCATGCATGCGTGCGTACCACCACAGCTACATGTTCATGCGAGGGCGAGTAGCAGAAAGACGCATCAGCATGTGTTGACTCAGTGTTTACATATTGTCGGGTTAATATGTCGTGTTTGGAGTTTAAGTGGCTTAGGTCGTATGCTGTCCGTGTTCTCATGCCTGTGTTGCTAAACAGGGTCCCCGCGTGTTCTCGGGGGCAAGTGTCTAGGAGGCCTATCATTAGGCATGTTTGTTTCTCGAAGTCAGGGCACGGTTTTGTGCATTAACAGGAGCTGAAGCAGGCGCGCTTGCACGTGTGGGGCAGGCACGAGAGCACAAGCCCACTGTTTGCCACATGTCTCGCTGTCAGTTTACGCCCTGCGCACAGGTGCACCATTGCCTTGTCGATGATCTGATATGCTTTGACTCAAGAACTTCAAGAAGCCTATAGTCTTAAAAACTATTGTAAACTCTGTGCTCACCCCAGATGAAGGGAGAGAGCTTGGGTTTAAGATTCAGGGGGTACGGAGGCCAAGGGGTGTAGTCTTCAGAATGTAGCCTCCAAGTTCTCAGCCTCAAGTCGTACCCACACCTGGACTTTCTCCCGGCAACAGAAGCCCTCAGCTTCATGCTTTCAGTCGTGTAATAGAGGGCTTGGAATAAGTACCAATACTCTTCATAAGGTTCCTGATTTTACGCATAGTGGAATACATCCCGAAAGTCTATTGGTTTGATTAGGGCTTCGATATTGCAGTCTCAATCCCTGCCCACCCCCAGTTCACTCTCTTGACCTGCGACTGTAAGATTCAGGGTCCAGAGAGTGGGTTTCAAACCTGAAGCCCAACACTTGAACCCAAACCGCACACCCTAGCTGTGCCCCGGGTGTCGTCCCGACAGCAGATTTTGACTGAGTGATGGCTCAGTAAACCGGAAATTTGCGGTTTTGGCAAGGCTCTCTGGAGTGCAGCTGGAGGTGTTCACGGTTTGTCTACATAGAATTATTGTCTAGCACATTATACTTTCTTATACTATGTTATTAGGCCTTTGATGTTCGAGATCGGGTTTAGGGTTTAGGGATGTCTGACAATTCATGGCTCACGGTGCCAAGCTCCTAAGTTTTAGGGTGTCTGGTATCTTGCTTGACACTATACACACCTGCTGTCGCTTGTCGCTGCATATGACACTCGGGATGCATTCAAAATCATCCGAAGCCTTCTAGGTAAACTACCAGGTTACAAAAAAGGAGGGACCCTTAATAAGGACCCCAGGTACATGTCCTTAATATAGCTATTGAATTATTATATACCCATTATGTAGCCCATCATAGGGTAGGGGTCCCCATTAACATCAAAACTGCAGGGCCTTAAGTGATACAGTAAGCCCTCCGCTCCTGTTCCCTGCTCCTTGTCCCTTCCTTGCTGCGCATACTGGGGGGCTAGGCAGGTGGATGGCCGTTCGCCGGTTGTTCCGGTTCATTGTTTTGTATCAAGTTTCGACTGGCTTGTGTTGGTATGACAGTTCCGCTCCACGCCAGAAGCCCAAGTGAAAGAGTCACTTCTCAGACAAGGTTTTACTGCTCGACTGCCTGCAGGTCCCACCTAGGATGCCTTCATTGGCGAGGAACATGGAAAAGCAGCTGCCGTTGTAAGGGCTCATTGTGCGGAGGTTTCGGTTCTCGGGGTTTCTTTCAACTAGGCTTTGGGCACTCCGCGCGCCTGGTTGATTCGACAGGTGGTTTCATCATCGAGGGGTCGGACTGATTGGTACTGGTACGCCCCATATATTGCGATACTATACCACTTCAGAAGAGCTCTGCAATGCGCGGTAAAGCCGCATTCTACATATTCACTGAGGCCCCTGTTTTCAGCAGCTAGGGGTATCGGGGAGATGCACTTGTGTGACAAGGAGAGCATGAAGGAGATCTCTGCACTTATCCCGAGCCACTACCTCATCATAAAAGCAAAGCCGTGACTTTCAACCTACCATTTGAGCCTACACATTTGCACTGTAAAGCTTCATTATCCCTCTCCCAGCTACGCATTGCACCCTGGATGAAATCCGTATATATTCTTACGATGGGGTCCTCCCTACACCGCACGCCCTCAAAACCCTAAAACCCTAAACCCTCAACCCTGAAACCCTTCAGCCCCAAGCCGTGAGCCCCAAACCCTGAACCCTAAAGCCCTCAAGCCCTAAACCCCCAACCCTAACCAGCCAGGGCGATCGACCAAAGGGGGAGGCCTCGGTGAGGAATACTACCAGGCTCGAATCGTTGGCATCGAGTTCAAAGGTGGGGTTTCGGGCTTGTAGAGTTCAGGGTTAAGGGCTTATAGAGTTTAGGGTCTAGGTCTTATAGAGTTTCGGGTTTAGGTCTTGTAGAGTTCAGGGTTTAGGGCTTATAGAGTTTGGGGTGTAGGGCTTATAGAGTTCAGGGTTTTTGGCTTATGGGGTTCAGGGTTCAGGGCTTGTATAGTTTGGGGCTTATTGCCTAGAGAGTTTCGGGTTTAGGTCTTATAGAGTTCAGGATTTAGGCTTTATGGAGTTCAGGATTTAGGGCTTATAGATCCTCCCCGAACGTTAGAACCCCAGGGCGTGCACCACGCTGCTTCGGAAAGAGCCCCGTCAATATCCCGAGGTGGTAGGAAAAGGGCTAAACCCTTATCCCAATATTGCTAAAAATAGAACGCCCAGAATGCCAGTTTAACCCCGTAAACCTGAAAGAGACAACCTGCAGGGGAAGAAGTACATCCTCAGCAAGGGGCCCAGCCACGCAATGCGATCTTGATGGATTTGAGGATCAGGCTTTAGCGGGTAGGGATCAGTCAGGATCTAGAGTTCAGGATTTACCGTTGAAGTTTGCGTTCAGGATCTTGGGCTATCAGGTTAAGGTTGTAAGGTTTAGTGTTTAAAGGTCAGGGTTTAGGGTTTAAGGTTCGGGGCTTAAGATTTGGGTTTAAGACTTCGGTTTAAGGCTTCTGCCAATGCCTTCGACTTTAGCTGATGAACCTTAAGCCCTTAAGCCCTACATAAGCCGAGTTTGGCGGCCCCAGGTTGAAGCCAAGGCTCAGCGACCCAAGATACTGCGCAACTCTAATTCTACCGACTAACGGCTCCTTTTTGTGGGAAGCCGCCAACGGAAAACGAGGAAGCGAACAAGTAACTACACATCGAACAACATGTTTATCTTCGTATATACATGAATACGTATGTATGTATGTATGTATGTATGTATGTATGTATGTACATATATACATACAGAATATGTGTGTGCATCCATACTTTTACCTAGCTATTGCGTAGTGCATACTTGGCATTGGCATACTTATAGCTTCTAATTATCTATATACACTACGCGATTGAAAGCCTGTATTTTCAGTGTTGACAGCCTTTGGCCTCAGCTCCAGGTTACTGGGTTCCTTAAGCTACCAGAATAGGGATCTATAGCAAATCATATGGTATCTGATTTATGGTAACTTAAGTTAAATCCCTTAACCAAAAACCAGGCTACTCCGAGTCCAAGAAGACCTTGGTTTCTGGAGTCATGGCCGGCTGGGCGTGTCCTCGCAAGGTGGCAAGGGTTTCGGGTCTAAAGATTTCGGGTTAAGGGTGAAAGATAAAGGGGCCGCGCGATTATGAGTTTGGGGGTATGTATTTATGCTAAACTGTGGTTTTCGGCTCATCTGAACACGTCCCTGAAGATTTACGGTTTCGGGGCTTACTTGGGGTTTAGGGTTTAACAGGGCTTGGGGTTTTGTGTTTAAGGTATAGGTTCTGCTGTTAAGAGGGTTGGAGTCCGTTAAGGGCGCTATGGGGTGTTGATCTTCTGGTGCTTTGTGGTGTTCACGGTTCTTGAGAAATGCTTCGAGTTTAGTTTTTAGATTTTAATGGTAGCACCGTTGGCACAGTACTACGGTACGGTATAGTACAGTGCAAAGATCACCTTTCCATCTCAGCCGTTGTCTGTCTACACATATGAAGGACTTTCGCCTTAGATCCCGAGGCTTCCCTCGACGTGTGCAAGACGCGGCGAGGGATCACGTGAACCAGGTGAGCAGCTTGTGGCGGTCGTCCATTGCCGGTTACGAGTTCCCTCCGAATTTGAACATATAGCTTTCTGATGGTTATGACCTCCATGCTGATATCGACGCAGAATGTATAAGTATAAGACCAGCATCCCAGATATGCTGGTAGTATCCACACCATGACCGAAAAGGGGGACAAGCGTGCAGCTCCGTATTGTTACAGCTGTCTGACTATTTCCCGGGGACCCCCAGACATAGTTCTATCAGAATAGACACAGGAAACCCTGTTCTAGTTCATAAGGCCCCTATGTTGAACCTTGTAAAGTCGCAGAGACAGGTAAACCTGATTCTTCGCCCTGGAATTCCCAGGGTCGTGCGACTAGGCCTGCAAGGCCCTAGCATGATCCATAAGTAGATGTGAGTCGAGGCCACACAGGCCCAACCCCCAAGCCTAAAGAGACGTAAGCCCTTAAGCCCGAAGCCTCTAAACTCCTAACCCTAAACCCCTAAACCCTTAAACCCTTGAACTCTCACCCTGAAAGCTTCGAAGCGCAGGTCGTCACCTGGCTCTTGGAGAACCGGAGCCTGTCGGATCTCATCCCCGGGCGCCGCAAGGGTCGGAAGGGAGCCTCTTGGGATGAAACTGGCGGTTTTCTGATGGGGGGGCAGGGTTCGAGGTGTCGGGGTACAGTAGGGTTGAGGGTCTAGATTTTGGCGGGGAGGATTGGGGGGGTTGGAGGGAACTTTGGTGGTTTAGAAGGGTTTGTAAAGATTGGGCTGAAACATGTGGGCCCCTAGACCTCAAAGCTCAACCCACTGGGGCAGAGACGGTTTGAGGATCTGGATTTAGGACCTGGAGTAGGCCCTTATTCCCTTTTTTTAGGGTTCAGGTCCCCTTATAAGCCCCTTTAAACCAAAAAGGGCACCCTTTTTGTTCCTAGGTTACTCTTGGGTCTAGGGATTTAGGACAGGTGAGGGGATGTCCGTCTGCAAGGAGGCAGACCAAGCTTACGTTTTTCAATACCGCAGACGCTAAACGCTGAAACACCGAAACTCCAAGCCCGCAGCCGTAAACCGCTAAAACAACCTACATTTTCGGGCACTGGAGTGGCCGTTTCCTTTCATACCTCGCCTTGGGAGCTTCCTTGTTAAGTCAGTCCTCCGGGTGGCTGGTAAACTATACTTGAAGTGGCCGTCCCAGCTACAATAGGGATTGGGGTGTAATCATTTCGGCGATGCTTGGAGTTGCGGCACACTTACCTGCGCCGAGTGTGTTTTTGTATGGTTACGGGGTCCAAGCAGGGCATTGCGAAGCCCGGATAAATTGAAATTCGTGCGGATAGAAGAGCCCAGAAAGACAGCAGACATGCACCCAGGGCAACGACTACTACGAGTCTAAAGTCACCACTCTGGAGGACTGATTTCTGCAAAGAGTGGGCTTGAACATTGGGTGACTCGGGGCATTGGGAATCAAAGGTTGAAACGTTGAATACGCGAGCCGGGAAAATCTGTTTGCTCACTCCTTGATTGTAACTAGCGGTTTTATCCCCTTCTTCGACCCCATAGGACTGCAATGCGGGATGCAAACTCGCTACCGTTGGCTTGCCTAAAGTAGCTATCACACTGACATGGCAAAAAGCGCTAAGCCCTGACCGCCATAACAGCAACAGCAGGCGACCCTGCATTCCATACTCGAAACGGAGAAGCCCGACCCTAAACCCGATGACCAGTCAGGAGACCTCTTGTTCGTACTATCTGTGCCTCAAAGATCACTTGTCTAATGCCTGCACCTTTGTAATTTAATCCGTGTCTCTGGGTAATTTAGGAGTTTAGATGCACCCGAACGCTCAACTTGAATGATGCAGGCTTCGTTGGTTTGCAGTGCATATGGCAGCAGATGGGGTCGGATGCTGGAGATTTCGGAATCGAGCCTTCATTTTGAGCTGCAGGTTTAGGGTTTAGGGTTTGGTAGTTTAGGTTTAGGATTATTCTGGTGGTTCAGGGTTACGGTTACGGATCAAGAACTTCGGAGCGGGCATCATGCTCACATCTTGAAGTCGAGCTGTGGGTCCAGGGGCTGCGGCTGGGGGCTCTTGAGACCGGTTTCGGATTCTTCTCTAACCGACCAACCACCCGCGAATCCACCAGCAGGCTTGCAAGCTTCGGGCAGTTTGGTCCTAAATGGCCCGCTGGCAATGGTAGCCGGGCAAATGCACTAATGTGCCGGCGATTGAGCTCCCGACGACAATGCCAGTGCCAGTGTGTGTCGTTGAATACTCGCAGAAAGCTTCGGGAAGCTTCACCTCGCCGCTGAGCTCATCATTTTGGCAGTGGGTATATGACAGCCGGGAAGATGGACAAATGTTCTGGCGGGGGCAAAGTCCCGCGATTGTAGTCCCGACCACAGTGCCTTGAAATCTTATCCTCGAGTTGCCTTGCCTGCGGAGCCGTCTGGCTGCCGCAACTCTACGAACTTGCAATCGCAAGCCAGCGATCCATCTCAGAAAATTCGTGTCCCTCAGTGCCCAGCGTCGTATTGGAGCATGGAGCCGTCAAACCCTCAAGCCATTATGGCCGGAGTTCGTCTGCTCTTGTGGTGGGATCTTTGAGTTTTAAGCCTGACAGCAAACTACACCGGTTCAGACCCCACATCCAAACTCAAACGAGGGCGTAGGAGGCTGCCCTCCTGGCGCGAGGACGGACGAGCAGAATTCTACCAAAAGGGTGAGACGATCACCGTGAAGGCAGCGGCACGAGGAGTTGTTCTCCGCTTGGAAGTTAAGGCTGAGAGTTGAGAGTTGAGGCTTGAGTTTAACAAGTTGGCTGAGATGTTGAGTTTCCAGTGTTCTGAGACACATCAAACACCTTGCAGCAGCTCGGGCAGTACAGTAGAAGCCGGAAAGTTGGAATATCATTATCATAATCCCTTTAAGGTAGATTATAGGGGATCCTGCCATTACTCCATATTCCAACTTTCTGGGGTTCCCCTTAGGTAGATGGTTTCCAGAGTCGGTAACTTCGTCTCGCAGGTTGGCACTTATAGCCGCACGCCGCGATCTAGCTCAAAGCTACGTAGCCAGGGTGAGTCTCTCTATGGACGAGGTTCATACTCATCTGGAAGCTTCCGCAGATTGGGGGTACCTTATTTTGGGGGTTCTTATACTAAGGATCCTACTATTCAGGGTACTATATTAGAGTCCTCCATTTTCGGTAACTCCCACGTAGACCCTGGAAAATTAATTCTTCTATTGGCACGTGAACACGCTACCCCGTATTTCAAGCAGCCTGCGCATCCCAGGCTCCAGATCTGGATTCACAGTTTCTTCAATGTAGGTCTGCCACCTGCATCCAGATCTCCAGTCGTCAAAGCCATAATCGAAGCCAAAACTACCAGAAGCCCAGCACCGAACATCGGATGCAAGAGTCAGAGCCCTTGGGTGTCCATTACACTGATGCTAGGGTTTATAGGGTTTAGAGTTTAGGGCATCGCAACATGTGTGCCAGGCGATGCCAATAAAGGCTCCAGGACTGAATCCGGGTTGCGGTCTTGGGTCCTTTGGAGCTTGGGTCTAGCGATCCATGTGGCTGAAATAAGCTGAAATAATAACAATAATAGTAATAATAGTAATAATAACAATGATAATAGTAATAATAGTAATAATAATAATGATAATAGTAATAATAATAATAGTAATAATAATAATAATCATCGTAATAATAATAGTAATAATGAGACCTGCAGCACTACCAAACACGAAGCCGCAAGCTTAAGTTCTCAGTTCAGGCCCGATCGCAATTCAGAAGAGTCCATGGCAAATGCATAAACATCTTATAAGAATGCATAAGCCCCGACCAAATAGGGCTGTAGAAACTCAGCTCAACCCACAAACTGTCTAGAAGGGTTCACTACAAATGCCGAGCAGAACAGTTTATCCCCAAACTTTCCACTCCTTACTCTCTAAGCCCGGCAGCCCTTTCTTTCAGATTTTTCTCCAAAAGCCATACCCACGATGGTTCTATTTGAGCACTGCATGACGTACGCAAGTCACAGGAAGTTCACAGCGCGATGCGGTTAGTCGTCAACCGAAAATCCTCTGCTTAGGGTTTGCATTCTAAGCCCCCTAAAGACCCTGCGCATTCCTCGGTAGGCTTGAGCATAAATGCGGAAATCCTAAAGCCCGCGGTAAACTTGCAAGACCTAAAGCACTGAAAAGCCCCATGCAGAGCATAAACCCGAAAGACACAACACCTATGAGCTCAGGGTCAGGTAGAAGCAGCATCTCTACGTAATCCGCATGCGACAGCCGTACCATCCGCAGTATCCCGTTGTGTGTGTGTGTGTGTATGTTTGTGTGTGCGTGCACTGCGGCTTTCGGCTTTAGCGTGTCGGGGTGCAGGATTTAGGGGCTCAGGATTCTGGGGCTAAGGGAGTTGCACACATGCTACGTGGAAGAGCGAAGGCCAAAGCATCCTTGTCCCAGCCATTGTTGGGTTCCGACATACCGGGAAACCTGTAAAGAGCGCAGTCTCCCTGCCGTTGTGGCCAACTTCTAAGTTAGTTCTCCGCCCTAAACCTGCAGAAACCGAGATGCAAACCCTGAACCTGAAGCTCCAAGCTGATCCCCAGTTCGCCGGCTCATCAGGAGGGGGTTTCATCTACCAGTACAGCACCGACGACTGCAGAACCTGGCAGGCTGTCGGGAACGAGGGTACGGCCTAAGTCTCGAAGGCTGGAAGGGTGGGTGAGGTTTTCGGACTGTTTCTGGTGGCTTGGGGCAGGGTAGGTTGCGGCTTGCGAGTGCTGGCAGTGAACCAAGAATGATTGGCCAGTTCAGAATGTCAATGATGGCGAGAAATGTAACGTTGTGCTCGCTTTCACAGGTTACGGTCCCCGTCCGTGGTGAATGCACAGGTCATGACGGGCTCTAGGATCAAGCCTTCGCCAAAACATGCATGCACACCCCTATATATACCTAAACCTTAAACCCTAAACTGTAATCCGAAGCTCTTCTAAAGGCGCTCTCCTACGCGGAAGAACGGAAGGAGTGGGTGCGGACCGCCTCCAGCACCAACCTGAAGCCCGGCGGCCCAAGATATATGGGAATTTCCGAAAATCGGGGTACCTCATTGTGGGGGTCTTGTAATAAGGATCCTACTATTTAGGGTACTAATTATACTAGGGTCCTCTATTTTCGGAAACTCCCGTATTTTTGTGAGTCGAATAGGGGCGCAATGATATGCACTGCTATTCCTCTCAGATGATTGAGGCCCTATTACCAGCGGGTTTATCGATTCTGGAGCTTGGTTTGTCGATTTTTTAAGTTTTAAGTGGTTTTGTTACCGCATGAAATCTACCAAAAAAGCTTTGTGCATTCTGCATGCCTTTGAAACTATTTCTGATGTTGCGTCTCAGGTTCAGCAGAGGCCGGTTAGAAGTAATCTGATCTCGAGCTTGATCACGGTGTGTCTTGTTTTCGTTGCTCTTTCGACAGTTCCTTCATGAAGAAATCTCTCTAGTGGATCCATCCACTTGAACCTGAAACCTTCACGTCTTAACTAGACCTGGGACCTCAATCTCCCACACGGTGGGGTATGCACCTAGACTCATCGCAAGCTGAGGTCGGATGATGATGGGATTCCCTGCGAGGCACACACCCCCACAGGGGTTGCCTCAAGGTTTGACAAGCCCTCAGGCTTTTGCAATCCGACACTTCGCTTACGTCAAGAATATGCAAATCGCTCAGCGATATTTCTTTAAGCAGAACCTGCCTCCGCACGTCAAGCAAGGCACATCGCGATGTAAATCGGTGGGCGTGACAGGAGGAGCAGAAAGGAGCAGAAATCGCCTCGGCAGTTTTGCTGGTATTCAGCTTCCGGAAGAGCCAGGGAGGCAGTACTGCCCAAGCACCCAGAGACGGCTGAAGAGCCTTCCCAGCGCCGACCAGCAATTCTTCGCCTCGCTGCGTCCAAGCAGTCAACGTCAGCCACGGGTTTCCTGGCTTCACTCGGGTTTAGGGTTGAAGGTTTGCGGGTTCTCGTCTTGCTTGACTAGAGTTTAGGGTTTTGAGGTGTTAGGGCTTTCGGGTTTTGGGTGGAGGCTTGAGGGCACACAGCGTGCCCCCACAGTCCCCTTCCCAAGCCAGCTTTAGGAGGCCTGACACGCCCCCAGACGCCAGACAGTTTTGAAGTAATTAGGGTTGGCAGTTATTGTTGTATCGTATGGCCTGGGTGAGTGCAGAAGCGCATCAATGACTTCCTAGCAACTGACTGTGTAGATGGGGCTGTCCTTATGTCAAGATGTGAAACTCTGGCATGTCGTTTACTTTCTGCTTGGAGGCGATCATGGCCATCACACCATCCGAGGAGGCCAGTGCTGGCATGGCCCGGGGCTCGACCGATATTTGCCACAGTTCTCAGCTTGTAAAGTCTGAGATGTAGGTGCTTAGGTGTAGGATTTCGCGGTTATCTGTTTTGCTATGGGGTGGGCAGCCACATGCTTCAAGCTATAATCCTGAATCCCAGCGTCTAAGGCTTTGGGCAGCCTCAGCGCGAAGTTTAAGCTATGCATGTTGCATATTACTGAGGCGAGCAGTCTCAAAACGCCAACCTCCGTGAAGCCAGACGCTCAGTTAGTTCAGAGGTTGCCGTCAGGTCAGGAACTCGGCTTTTTGCTGATGCTTACTACAGGGGCTCTTGCAAGTGTTTCGGATGTAGAGAGTTTGGGGGTAGGCGATTTGAGCTTGAGGGTTTAGGGCTTGGGGTTAAGATTGAGGGTTGCGACTTAATTCGACTTTGGGGTCAACAGTTGAGGGGCAGTGGCTGGCCTAAGTGCCGGGGCGGGGGCGTGGCCGGGGCGAGAGGGGGCTGTGGGGCTTAAGCGTAAGAGTGCGAGCACGACAAAGCAGAGTTTGCGGAAGCTTGACGTTCATGGCATGGTTTCCGGTTCAGGGTCTGGGCGTCATCAGCTTCAAAGCCCAACGCCCACTTCAACTGCCAGGCTTCTGTTCCCGAGTGCTACCGGAACAGCTCTTGCACCTCGGCGACTGACTTGCTTCGGTGCCAGGTGTGACTATTGCCCTAAGTCTTCCTTGCCAGTGTCATGTGTCTTGATAGCTGTGTCATGTGTAAGTCAGCACTCCGATTAGTTTCTGCTTGCTGTACTTGCTAATGTAGTAGCACTCTTGTTGCTGATACAGATGTCCACACCAGGTCAGGAGTCCACAAACACAAATTAAGTAAATTATAGGGGCCGGGGGGGTGGGGGGGGTCCGTATCATCGTATCCTCGCCGCCGAGATGTTCCAGACACCGGTCCCGTCGTCTCTGAGTCTACCCGTAAAACATCTCATAGGAGGCCAAATGGGGTTTTAGCCTATGGGGGTTTAGTAGGGATTCGGGTTCCCATAATAGGGTTCATATTAAGGAATCCCTACCCTGAGAATCTTAAACCCCCCTTGTGGCCTCCCATCAACATCTAAAGGCCAAGCGGCCCGGCTCCAGGGGCCATCAGAGGTTGAGTTGTCGTATTGGCGGTTTCGGCCGATAGACTGTAAATGGAGCATAGTGCAGTATAGAAGAGTATAATATAAAGGAAATGCAAAGAATAGAGTACGATACATGATAATGTAACATAATGTAATATCATGTAGCATGAGAATGAAGGCATAAGTGTATATAGTATAATATAGTAGAAGTTGATATAACTTAGTAATCTATGAAATAGTGTACAATAGAATAATTTGGTACAGTATAGTACTTTAGAACATAACATAATGCAGTATAGTATAGTATACTGCAATATAACACGTTATGCTCCAGTGCCTTGTCATATAATGGATAATATGATTCAAATTGATATGATATGATATAACATGGTACAAAGTAATATATTATGGTATAATTTAATGTGTTGTAAAAGAGTTTGATATACTAGAATATGATACACAGTATTCTCCGTTCGTTCGAGTTCTGCACGTGGTTCATGCCGCACGGACAAAGCCTCAACACGCCTGGCCCGGATTCCAAGGGGTACCATATGCAAACTGGCAAACCGAGATGAACTGAGCGTGCCTGTTCTGAGGCAGAAATAGAGCAACAGACAGATCACCGCTTCAAGCGCCCGCAGTACCTGGCGGAGGCCACACACCCCTCTGTACGTTGCCGGGTTCTGGGCCTTGGGTACTCAGGGTTGCTTTTGCTTGCTTGGGTTGCTGTCGCCGACTTAGATCTGGAGAGGGTTACTTCGGGGCGTCAAGCCAGGGATCTTCGAAGCTTCTGCTGCTTCGCCTTTTCATGACTTAGAAGCTTCCGTCCAACCACTCCCACAACTTTAAAACAGGAAGTCCTAAACCCAAGTCAGTCTGCCAACAGCTGGCACGACGTGTTTGTGGAGTTTGTCTGATAGGTGAAGAAGGATTTGCGAACGGCTCACCGGCCTTCAAGCTGGCAAACAAGCCTGAAACTATCTTCAAATGCTGTCTTGCAAAACTGCGGGGCTGAGGCCGGAATAGCGCCGCTGACACGCCGATGTAGGATGACCGCGGAACCGCATGAACGCTGTCTTGCGAAAGTGCGGGGCTGCGGCCATCTTACGGTCGGGGCGGTGTGGGATGGTCGCGGCCCAGGCGGTGATTTTTGGCAGGCTTGGCGGCGCTTCTGTCAAAATCAAGCCACTTCCGATGCTGTAACTTGCTAAGCTAAACTTGGCACTCGTTTGGGGGTCTGGAGCCGGCTCGAGCTTTAGATGGTGGCTTGCAGGGTTTTCGAGCAAAACCTTGCTCTTGTAGCCCTTCGGTTGGTTAGGGCGAAGTTATATGCCTTAAACCCTAAATCGCAGTTTGAGTGGCTATATATATATATAACGTGTTCATCCCGTTTCACCTCTAAGACATAAGACAATGTTTCAGGCTTCAGGTTGATTACCCGTGTCAATCCGTTTCGACCCAAACGTACATCTACCAGGGATCCAGGATGCACATCCGAACGTACCATTTTTATCCACTTTCCAAAAAAATGCTATTTTCATTTTCCAAAGCTCAAAGCTAGAAATCAGAAGCTCGGCAGCCAATGCTCTACCCGAAACTTCCACAAGGCCCTGACGCATTACTCCGCACAGTCGAGGTCTCATCCTTAGTCCGGTGCTCTGGGTGCAGGGGCTAGGGCTTCGGATTGTTTGTGGTTCAGGCCTGAGGAATGTAATGGCCTTGGTTTGAGGGTCCAGGCGGGGTGTGTGGGATTTTTGCTTTATAGGTTGAGCGCCCCATAAGTTGAGGGTTGTCTGTTCTGGAGTCCTCGGTCCTTCGACGGGTGCGTGGTTTGGTTTGATGTGCCTGGCTACCATTTGGCTACGGTCGATATCTTTTTACGGGTTTGTACTCGTATCCAAGCATGATGCACGTTCATCACGGTGTTTGTGCATTCTCAATGTCAGTGTGTACACACTCGTACGCACGCATGTGTTGTAAAAGCATATGTATATACAAACAGATACATGTACATGATAGTGAGTATGTAGCTACAGAGAGACTCTGAGAAGATATCTCGCTCAACTGCCAAAGCTCCCCGGCCCATGCGCCTAAACCCTAAATCCCCTAAGCTTGAACTATTTGTGAGCTCTTAAGGCCTCGAACCCCAACACCCTGAACCCTCGAGCTCAGACACGAATTTCAGGACCCAGCGTCCTAACAATTAATTAAACCGTGAACCTCAAAGCTTCAAAATATACCCTAATCCCTGAACCCCCCAAAAGGCCCTAAACTCTAAAACGCAAGCCCTAAGGCCCTCAGGCCTAAGGCATCGAACCCAAAAGCCCCTCAGCGCAGGGCGGTGCGCTCGAACGGCCACTTGGCCTTGGCCGGACACCCGGAAATTATCTAGATGCCTTTGGATTACTGTACCTTACATTGGGATCAGATGTTGAGAGCTCGAGTTTGGGGAGAAGCTTAGACCATGGGTTCAAGCCTATAGGCCTGCTAGTTAGGTTTGGCTTTGACTAACGGGCCGCCATATCGATAAAGGCAAGGCCTCGGAAGGTTAGAAATTGTTTGAAGCCTTTGTTTCGCAAGCATACGACTATCCTGTGCCTGGAGTGTTCATTTCCTCTGTCTCTCCCTCCCTCTGCCCTCAGCCGTGAGCCCGAAGCACTGAACGGTTCAGAGTGCAGCAGTGCCCAGGTGGGCGAGATTGTGATGGAACATTACGTCTCGGACAAGGTCGTGAAAGAGGCATCGCCCTGAAAATTGTTGAAGGGTGTGGTGTGGTTTGACTTTGCAGGGTTGGACAGGCTCGCGACGGAGCTTCGGATGGTTCTGGAGAACCTTAGGTATCGATGTTCTTATAAAACGTCCAAACACACTTTCTCGCGTGGTGACGAAACGGTCATCAGGCTTTAACTTTATCCTTGTCATCAGGCTTTAACTTTATCCTTTGAGGGCTCTGGGATTCTGTTGGGCACTCGGTTAACTGCCATCAGTTCCGCCTTAGCAGCCGAGTCCCGAGACGTCCCGAACTCACGGATTCCACATGTCGCAGAACCGTAAACCACAACATGGGAGTTTCGGAAAATACTGGGGGACCCCGATATAGTACCTCAAATAGTAGGATCCTTATTATAAGGACCCCAAAATAAGGTACTTCTTCAACCGAGTGCATAGGATAAACGAACAGAAACCTGAGGGATCCCCCGCTTTTGGTGGCTGTCTTCGTCTTCTCACGGTTCAAAATGAGTAACTTGACTTCCGGCCAGGGAGCTCAACAACTACGAGTATCCTAAGCGAGCCGTGAGTCCCCGGAGGGAATCGAAGTCGTTACCCCCCAACCCCCCGCCATAAAGTAAAAGCCAGAAAGTTGGAATATGATTACCCTAAACCCTTTATGGTAAATTATAAGGTATCCTACCCTGAAACCATATTCCAACTTTCTGGAGTTCCCTTTAAAGACCCAACAGCCTAAATCCCCCAAGCTCAGAAAACCTATAAAACCCAGACCCAAAGTCTACGTCCCAAGAGCCTAAGCCCTGATTATATACGTGTATACATATATATATATATACACACACACATATTACATACGTTGTTTTATTTTTGCCACATATATGAATATATCTATATGTGTATATATATATATATATACATATACATATATACATATACATATATCCTTGAACTGGCCTGATTTCTTTCGTCAGGCGGCGATGTTTTTCGGATCTCATCTCGTGGTCGGCCACAAGGAGGTCGGGCGTCTGGTATTCAAAATGCTGCAAGCCACCGTTTAGGGTTTAGGTTTTAGATTCAGGGTATCTATATCTGGTTGTATGTGCCTTTCTCTCAATCTGCCAACGTGCCTCTTGAGTACAGGATTTTGGGGTTCAGGGTGTATTTAGTGTTTCGGTTTAGGGGTTTAGGGTTTAGTTTCAGAATTTAGACTTGTGTAGTTAATGTGTAGGTTTAGGGTTTCGGGGTACTTATAAGAAGCAGCCTCATCGTTGTGATGCTACATCGGTGCTCCGTATTTTGGTCCGAAGGGGTTTCGGGGTGGAGGGCTTAGGGTTTAGGGTTAAGCTAAGGAGTATCAGCCTAAAGTTACGGGGTCGATGATTTCATGCTTAGGTCGAAGAAATGCAGATGTCCTTCTAGTTGCGTGATTGTCACGGGTGCATGTCTCTTGTAGTCATGCAGGGTTTGTTCTCAAGAGGAGCATCGGAGGCGGAATTTCACCTCATTAACAGTCAAGTTGGAGGCTCGTTTACCAAATTCCACGACAGATATAGCCAAGATCGACCCCCACGTTCCGACAGGGCCAGCCGCTTGCAAAGACCTTTGCGACACCGAAAGGCGCGCTGAAGTTCTGCTGTCGTCCACATTGCAGCACATAATGCTCGTAGCACAATGACGTGCTATCATGCGATATGTTTCATTCTGTTCCTCTGCAGAGAATGGGAGTTTCCGGAAATAGGGGACCCTAATACAGTACTCTAAATTGTAGGGTCCTTACTATAAGGACCCCAAAATAAGGTACCCCTAATGTTCGGAAACTCCCAAGTGTAGGCATCAGCACCCACAGGACTGCCGCCACCCCGAGCGTGGGAGACTGAGCGTTGGCTGAAAGTCATCTGGGAGGAGCCCACAACCCTGGACCCTACACCGTGTGCATGGATGGATGGCTGGATAGATGGGAGTTTCCGAAAATAGGGGTACCTTATTTAGGGGTCCTTATAATAAGGATCCTACTATTTAGCGTACTATATTTGGGTCCCCTATTTTCGGAAACACCCAGATAGATGGATAGATGGAAGCTTTCCTTACACAAAGCTGCGAGAAACCCTAGAGCTATCTTTCCAGGAAGCTGCTACAAGTACCTTGATTTCGGACCCAGCCCGGACGCTACCCTAAGTGAAGCTGGCACGATTCCTTTCATTTTCGGGTTTAGCCCCACCAGCTATCCGCAGTCCTTCAAGGCCCGCGCCCACGGAGGAGAATCGCGGAGGTCCGGACCAGTCAAACTGAGTTTCGGCGGTCGTAGCTGAGCAGGGTTGAGGCCTTCCGGTTTTGATTTGCCGGGAGCTTCGGAATTTGGGTTTTAGCAATGTTCTGCTTTCAATGATCGGAGTTGTTCCGCGTTTCGTGTCTTGGCAACGATATCCGATATCCTGACCGTCGTCATCACCATCAACAACAAAAGCTTCATTTTCGGTAACAGCGACATCCTCGCCATTCTCTGTTCATCATCTTCTTCTGCTGCATGGCAAGTCTTCTTGTGCCGGGTGTGGCCATACATGACTACGACCTGGTACGGCAACACTGTGACAACACGAGATGATACACAACTCCCCGCCTCGACACAACCACGCTCCTGCAGACAGATAGAACGACTGGCAGGCACGCAAGTTGAGTGGCTAAGTGCGGTAGGCAAAGCAGGACACTGCTTCAATTCCGTAGTCCTCTGGTCCATAATCAACGGCAAGCTCCCTCCCCAGTCCCTCCCTCTCTTCCTCCCGGAAGTGCAGCCCAAACCCTGCTACTGTGCAGGTGTCGACAACGTGATCGCTCTGGATCGCCAGCCTGGCGATCTTCTGCTGCTCAGAGCTTGTAGCGTCTTACAAAAGAAGCATTTTTCTTGCTTTGCTTTAGCTACGAAGCTGGTGTTACAGACATGAGGTCCGCTTTAGCAATTTGGTCAATACTCAAATTGCTTCCCGGCTTCCATGGCCCTGCGAATTGCTGGTAAGTCCCTGGCTTAGCACCTATGCCGGTTCCGATAAGCTTCGAGTAACTCCGGCAGTCTGCACAGGTTAAGGTGTAATATAGGGGCTTAAATACTTACCAACACTATTCTGGGGGTTCCTTATCATAATCATAGACAGTGGGCCCCAAAACCCTATTCTGACTATTACAGTTGGAACATCATGAGCTAAGCTGCTCAAATCTGCACACCTGACGATGACAGGGCGCATCTGGGTCTGCTGCAACCACGTCAGCCGGCTCCTTATATATCTCAAATCGTCCGGGCAATCCATGGCCGAGACCTTCAGGTGGAGAACCCAAATTACTATAATAGACTATAGCTGTGTAAGATTCCATAATATACCATGATATTTTACCATAATATGACTTGCGGCACCAAGGGTTCACGCTGGTTAGAGGGTCCGGCTGTTGGCCTGCATGGTTCCGGGATCAGCCGGGCGGCGACACTGCAGGGAGATCAGTGTCCGAATGAGGTCTAAAGAATCGCCTGGCTTGTATCAGTTGCTTGAGACATGTGCAACTCTGGTGGCTGAATGCGTCTAGTGGTCGCCGTTTTAGCGTTTAGGAGTTTGGAGTGTGGGGGTCTCGGGCAAAGCCTCATCCTGCTTTTAAGTTGTTGCGAGTCTAGGCTCAAGACATGAAAATGATGCCCAAAACATGGCTTGGATAACCCAAAACGCAAAACCCAGAATGGGGGCCTAAAGAACCCAAGCCGCAGACACTGCGCCCTTTCAGCCTTGTCCTTTGTCAATCCTACCCCTGGAATCTCTCCAAGTCCAGGTCCAAACCTTCTAGTCTGCGGACCACAAGCCCTTTTCTGATCATTAAGGTGCCCCCATCCAACTCAAAAGCCTCATAGGAGCCCAAAAGCCTCATAGGAGCCCAAAAAGACCCCTATTCTACGAATGCCTCTGAACCCCAAACTCTAAACTTCATTCTAAAAAGGAGCTCAACAAAAAATCATTGAAATCATGAACGGCAGAATCTTCCTGCCGTGTCCACCGAGGCTATGCTGCTAGATCCATCCTAACCGAGCTCCACGAATCCATGAACAAAGACTCAAGGGAGCTGGAGGAGCCCGAACCGCACAAGGGTTCGGGGTGCAGGGTTTTGGGGTTTGTTAGGGTTTAGGTAGGAGGGTAGCTTGGGGAGCTTGCACTTAGATTTAGGAGTTTTGGGTTGAGAGAGTGTCGAGAGCGTTGCATTCTTTGGCAGTTCACGGCCATAGAGGTTCAGGACTGTCCCTGAGCCCACGATCGAACAGTTCTGTTGGCTGGGGCTGGTCTTCCAGCCTTGGCTTATGACATCTTCCCGGTAGCTGCATCCAAGGAAACGGCAGTCTAGCCCCGCTTCCTGACTGGAAGACGGTAGTGTGGCTTTCCGACATGGCTTTGGCTGTCCAGTCTTTCCGAAATCCCAAATGCCCACGATCCCCCAAACATCCCCACACACAAAAACATCACGGTTCCGCACTTGCGTCTTGACTGTATGTTAAGAGCCCTGGATGTCCCCTTTGGTTTGATGCAACCCCGAGCCCGCCGCAGGAGGCCATCAACCGCTTTGCCAAGGAGTTCAAGAAGCTGTCGCAGACGCCACCTCAGGAGAAGTTCCTGCCAAATCTCCCAAAACAGACTTTGCCCGATCTTTGGGCCTCAGACCTCCAGCCCCATGATATTCAGGTTTTAATAATTAGAATAGGGTTTTGTGGCCCACTATACTTAGAGTTATACTAACACCCAAAATAGTATGGGTAATGTTTAAAGCCCCTATGGTACCCCCTGATGCCCTTTTGTACGGTGTGATGAATTCTGCTGCATGTAGCTGTCACTGCTTTCGGCGAGTGCGAAGCTGTTCAAGCTGTCAAACCACCAGAGTTCCAAACAACCCTAAAATGTACAATGTAAGTTACAATGTATATACAAGTTTATCCATTTATATATAAATGGATATATATATATATATATATATATATATGTACATATATATATATATATAACCCCCGGTCCCCGCCGAGGCCCAAGGATCAGAGGGAGCGGAACGTCAAGTGGCAGCAGCTCTTCAAGTCAGGAGCGCCGAAGGCGCGGGCGTTTCTTTGCCTTGAACCATGCAGACCCTGAACCGCTGTAGGCTGTGGATTGCTCTGTATACCATAGTTATATTATATTGTATTATATATGTGTATATATATATATATAAACCTAAATAAGGACTACCAATTATGCAGGCCCCTCAACACAGCCTATCTATCTAACTCCCTAACTATCTATCTATCTATCTATCTATCCCTCTAATATAGATAGGTAGAAGGATAGATAGATAGATGCGTTCAAAGTACTGCTTTTCTTTGAGCTTAAATTCCTGAAGAGAAAGCCATCGAAGGCGCGGCACTGTTTGGGCAATTCCCCTGTAGCCCACATGCTCCACTGAACCGCAAGAAGTTGCGAGGCTTCGGGCTTGGGTTTTGGGGTTTTGGGTTTAGGGTTCTGGGAGTTTGGATTTAGGTTGTGTGGAATTTTGGGTTTTGGTTTTAGGGCATACGGTTCAGGGTTTGCAGTCGGGACGCTACTCCGGCGGTTTGCCTCATACATGTTTGCTCTGCCTCACACTAGTAGCGCATTCCTTCACCGAACGTGCCCACACAAGGGAATACGAACTTCAAAACGCACAACAACGAGGCCGAAGGCTTTAAACACCAACCCCCGAAGCCTATAGGCCCTAAAGCTCAACGCATTTAACCCCAAGAAGCCCTAAACTGTGCTTCTACTGAAGCACACCTATCCGTCTTGAGAAGCTCGAGCCTTTGCTGTGTTTGCCGGGAAAGGCTTTGGGTGACGTCTTCTTGGCCGTGATCGGCCATCCCCTCAGCATGGCGGGGTTCAGGGCACAGTGTACAGGACTTCGACAATTGACGCTAAGTTTTATTCCACATGGTCCAAATGGCTTGTATATGGGCACAATGGTTGCATTTGTGGTCAGGCGTCTGGCGTTCCCGGCCCCACACACCCCCCCAATGGTATGGTCTGATAGGGGTGGGGGGGGCGTGTTGGAGCTGTCACCGGATGGCGGGGCGGCGCTGGCGGCCAGGGCTCACACGCAAGCCCTTCGCAAGCAAGGGTGGGGGGGTGTTCGTCGGGATCAAACCCTAGGTAGCGGTTTCGGGCTCATCCCTCAGCCCGATCAGCTAGGGGTGTCTTCTGAATCTGAACAGATAGGCTTAAACTCCAACCCCGCAAACCCTAAGCCCTCAATCACCATTAGGCATAAATTTTATCTGCGAGGTGCGATCGCCATGGATTCGGACTACTTCGAGGTCGGGAAGCTCAAGTTTTCTAGACTTATGGGCTTGGGGGAGGGGGAACAGTGCTCTGCGGATGCCGAAATCAGTTTTTGTCACAGACAGATCTTGCAGGGTTCACATCCGGGCAGGCCGAGCAGTTGATGCTGCAGCACTACCAAGACAGCCGCGGGCTGTGAGCTGTCGTATTCAGCATAGCTGCCATAACGGTGGCATTGGCAGCTAGCTGTGTGAAAGTGGGCTGCTGTGGTCAGCCTACATGGCGGGATGACTTGGGCATGTGTTGCTGCAGAGGTCTTTCACTTGTGAGTGGCGCTGGTCTATTCGATGGAAAGCTGTTCAACTTAGCCGCAACAACCGCGCGTTGGTGACACATGCGGTTCTGCACTGATCGAAAAGCAATAATAAATCGAGCTAGTACCCCGCGCATGCTGCTGTGGACCTAGTTTGTGAAAGCGCTTCCTCTTAAGGCTTTGACTTTGCATCGTTCTGAAGCCATAAACAAGTCGCATGCAACTTCGTTGAGCTCTACTGCCTGATGCTCAAATTTCGAGGTGAGCAGATCTTCGAACTCATGAAGAACCGAGAGGACTTCTGGGGTCTTCTGTGGGCATCTGCACCCTCCTAAGGGAAGCCTAAACCCGACCACCCCTGAGCCTGAAATGGGTGCAAAGGCTTCATGATTCGAGGACCATGATGTCATTATGCAGGCCGGAAGAATTAGTTATGTTATTCCCAGAGTTCCTTATTCCAAGTACACCATTCTAGACCATATTGCACACCAAAATCTATTTTCCTTTAGAAAGACCCCATTGGCAGTGTAAGGCTTCAGGAATCTGTTCTGTATGTTTCAAGAGCCTCTTTTCTGCGGTGAGTGTCTAGGAGACTTTGGAGGATTCACTGTTGTTTCGTCCTCCAAGTTGTTGCAGTTGGCCGCAAAGTCCCCGAAATCCGAAAACGCCGAAACGAACCCCCAAACACTAAACTTGAAACCCATGAAACCCACGATGGGAGTGTGGAATACCTTCTAGCAGGCTACGAGCCCTAAGTTTGGGCCCAAAGCCCCAAACCTCCATGGCCAGTCCCTGAAAGTAGGGTTTAGCGTTTGGCTTTTGCCTGTAGTCTCCATTGTAGCTCCTTTTGGGGTTTAACCAGCTTTAAGAAGGATCCTATAAGGTAACACACAAGAAGCACACGAACTACAGTGGAGACTGTAGGTAGAGTTAGACACCTGCATCTGTAAGTATGCCCTGCATGATCTCTAAATCACTTTGCCCCAAAGCCGAGCCTCATGACGGAAGCTCTCAAGCACAGTTCGAAGGCCTGCCTGGCTTCGGTACTCGTATTGTCCTCAAGCATCCACAGGTTCCCGCAGGTATTCCGAATCACACCCTGATGAGCCGGGCACCCAGAGTTTAGACTTTCAGGGTTTCGGGTGCACCTGCCGTGAATTCCTTGAAGAGCGATCGGGCAACGGATGACGGACGGCAGCCGATACGGAAGCCCTTATGCAACCCGAGACCCTAAACCCTTATGTAACCCTAAGCTCTAAGCCCAACCCTAGGCCCTGCGGGCCCTAAACCCTCGTGTAACCCTAAAACCAAGCCCCGCTTAGGCACCAATGGTCTACGGCAACTGCGTGAGGATTTTCCGCAGGTTCATTGCGAGAAGGTCCTCGAGGCGGAGTCTTTGTGCAGCCTTAAGAGGGTTTTGGGTTTAAAAAACTGTGAGCCCCAACCCGCAAAAGCCCCAAATTGGAAGCCAGAGGGTTGCAATACTACAGTAGGAGCATCTAGGAGATTCTACTGTATGGAATTGTACTACACTATACTTTAGCAGTATCCCTCATGCCCCCAAGCTAATGAAGTTTAGGGAGTTCCTGCAAGAATCATCCTTACATTTCCTGTTCCATCCAGCTTCCTTGGCTTCCCTGTAAAACTGCATCGTCTGCCGTTGCAGCACATGAGGCTCATGGCCTCATCAACTATATAGGGGCATGAGGGACTACTAATAATACTATTCCCTAGGGTTCGTTAGAAGACTTATACTGCAATATACTCCCAAACCCTGTTTAAGTCTTCAGGTCCCTACATTCACTCTGGATCTTTACCTCTCCAGCATAGGTTTAGTGGATAGTTTTGCTGGCTGGTTGTAGTTTACCATGAGTACATCAGAAACGCAGCAGTAAGTATATGTTACCTAATGCAAGAATTGCTGTCGTTCGTCCGTCCCACATGTATTAGAACCCAAGAAAGCCGTATTCCGGGCCTCGCCCAATAAGGAAACAAGGCCTGAGAAAGCTCGCCCACTCTTAATAACCAGTCATTTACGGAACAGAGGAACCAAAACAAAGAGTAAGGCCCACATGGTGCCCAACTATTGAATAACTGTTGCCCAAGTAGAGCCCACATAGTACCGAAACAAGCTCCCACTGAAAGGTCACAAGATCCCCCGAAACAACCACTACAAAATAGACCGAACTACTCTTATTTGGATGTTATGATTGGCTGCATGACATACGGATACTGTGAGGGGGATTGAGTGGGGCTTAGTTAGGGTTCACCTGAAGCCGAGAACGCTAGCGCAAACTTAGCTGGACATCTCGACATTCGCATAAAGTATTAATCGGTTCTCCAAAACCCTTCACAGGAAGAGCTCACATATGCCGCATCCCATGGAGGGACACCAAAATTCAAGGCAATCTCCAAGGGTCGCTTGCTTCCAGGCAGATGAGCCATAAGTCCCAAGCTTTAACCGAGGCTGTTGAATCTGCCTCCCTCGCGTCAGGCGGATACTCCGCAGCAGCATTCATTGTCGCGCCGTCCTCAACCTGAATGTGAAGATGCGTAATTTTCCTTGCATACCTGCTTGCCATTTACCTGCCAAATGTTCAGAAATGTATAGAATATCTGGCTGCAGCGCGACTATGTTCTGCAGCCTGTGCTACGCAAATAGAAGCCTGAAACAAGAGCCAATGCATTTATCGGGAGCAGCAATGGACTTGGAAAGCAGAGCTGTATCGAAGAGCCATAAAGGCGTCGTACCAGAGCTTTCGCGGGAGGTCTAATGGAACTGTGCGTCTTTGCCCTCAGACCTTGAACCTTGACCCAGACAGCCCAACACCCTGTAGTTAAGGCAAGTACCTCAAACCAGACTGGGCTTATTACGGTGATTTAAGGTGTATTCCTCAACTAGCCAAAGAGTTCTCGGCTCTTTGGGATCAGTTTCGAAGCTGTCTCCCTGCACGAACTCGTTGCACCGTTGCCTGAATTGAACAATCCATTCCCAGAGCTGCAACACCCTCAACCCTAACGCGTAAACCCTGAACTGAACCCGAAGCCCTCATCACCAGCGGCTGCGCAGGAAAGAGCTGCAAGGCTTTTTGGGATGGGAAGTTAGGGCGACAACGGTGTTTCCAGGAATCAGGGGTCCCATTCTTCAGTGTCCATATAGCTCACAGCTTAAACCCAAAGGTACTAGTAGTTTTGCAATCTCCAAAGGTTCAAGGTTGAGCATGTTTGCGGGCTGCTTGTCTGATCAGAAGGTAAGTTTGACGTATTGCCACGGCCTCGGATTCGCGATTGTAGAGCACGTAACCTTTACTAGCAGGTGTGGGCACTAAAATGTCTATCTTGTAATCCCAAACCCTACAATACCAGACCAGGAAAGACCTAGGAGATGACAAGATCGGTTCTCTAAAGCTGACCCCGAAGTCAAGACATGCTCTGATACTCGAGGAAGCGACACCCCTAGATGCTTTTGTTGCCCTTCCTATTACGATGGTTGCTGTTAATTAGTTTGGTTTGCACTTGCTGTGATTGCTATTGCTCATGTTATGATCATTATGGTTATGACGACTAGTGTTGTTATTGTGTTTTATTGTAAGCGGCATTGTCACTGTTAGTCGTGTAGTCAATGGGAGGGCGAAGTTCCAAAGCTCATCGTCTCCAAACGGCTGTCCAGTGAACACATCAACACGCCCCCAGACCTCTAGACCCCAAACTGGAGCGGTACCTCAGTCCCACAATTCTCCCAGCGGATCCTTTCCGGCCAGGGGGTCTTGACATGGATGCCTGGTTTAGCACTCAGCTCTCCGAGACAATTGCAGAGGGGTCCAGGGTTGAAAGGAGTCTTGAGGAAGATAGGTTCGAGGGTTTCGGGTTGGGGTTCAGTGCGTTCAGTACTGACAGTGAGTCAGAATTGAGGGTTGGGGTCTAAGCAGGGGCCAAGGCGAGGATAGGAAAATCGTCAGCGATAGCCGTGATGATCATGAAGAAGAAGAAGTTCATAATAATGCTTGGGTACAAGGTGAAGGCGCAAGAAGGTGATGATGATGATGATGACCCCCTCATAGTTCCTGGTATCGTGGACTAGAATCATCCAAAATCCGTAGTCTGAGGACCGGGGACGTACTTGGGGCATGCGCTCTAGAGACTGTAGCACTGCCAACCGCCTGGTTTCGGGTTGAAAGTTTGTGACTGGGTTTTAGGTATGCCGTTCAGGGTTAGGGTGTGGGGTTTAAGGAAGGTTTGGGGTTTAGGGTTTAGGGCCGCTTTAGGGCCTGTTTGAAGCTCAGCGTGTTGTGTTTGGGGTTGGAAATTCTTTGGGTCGCCCCAATCCTTGAAAGTTACGTTATGGCCGAGCCCTCAAATGTCGACCACAAGAGCTAAATTTCAGAACCTTTTTTTGCGTTGGCGATGTTGTCCTAGGGCCTGAGGCCTTGGGCGTTTGGAAGATATGTCAAAGGGTCTCATGCAAGGTCTGCTGGTTGAGGGCTGCAGGTGCGTTTGAGATGATCTCAGACGATCCAGAAGTCGGTAGTTTGGGCGTCGAAGGCACCAACATCATCCGTCAAGCCAGCCCAACCCTGAGCCTCTAAACCCTAAACGCCCTAAACCTCGAACCCTAAACCAAGTCCGTCAAGCCCAAGGCCTCTCGAAACGCTTCAAGCCCAGCCCCAGACTTTGGGCACTGTGCAGGTTTCATGTGAACGACCTGTGCATGGTGGAGGCACAGAGGGCTGAGGGCATTCCGAGTATCAGATGTCGAACCATCGTCGTCATGGCCATATCACCACCACCACCATCATCATCACCATCATCGTGCTCCTGCTCCCTCTCCTCATCCCCTCGTGATGATACTCCCAGCAATGGCTATGTGCCAGGTCGAGGAAGGATCCAGCTCTCGTGAGGCCAGGGTTCAAAGGATTAGGTGTTAGGGTTGAGGGTTGGACGGCGGGTTAGAGTCTCATTCACTAGGATTGGTGTCCTGTTTCAATGGGGAGCCTGAGCTTCTGTGCTTTTGGGTCTACGGCCTACGGCTTTCAGGCTGTTGGGACATGGAGGCTTTGGTCCTTGGCGAATGCCTAGGATAGCAGAGCATACATCCTGAGGCGATCGATAGAACCCATAGCTTCTACACGTAGGATTTTTAACGGTAGAGAAACCAACCGCTACCAGCTGGGGCTACGTACTCCCTGCACTCCTTACCTCCCTTCACCTGCATGGCTTAAGTCCCAGCCCTTCATACACATGCGTGAAAAGTTTGGAAGAACACCCTCTCAACAGCCCCGACATAGATTTTATCTTCACATGGTCTCCATTCTCAATAACATCACTGCAGAACTCCATTCTAGTTCAGTCGCAATGTTGATACCCATGTGGGATTTGCACACTAAACAGCTTGAACCGCAAAAGTTCACAGCGCCATTAATAACACAATATTCGCAAAAGCCGCTAAACCCAAGTTGGCCCAAGATCCTATGAATTTACTTGAAGGTTAAGGACTTCTGGGAAGATTTTTAAGTTTCAACTAATGAAACCCGAAACCCCTAAACCCCTAAACCCGAGTCGTCTCATTCGAAGTGTTGCTCTCGGGTTTGAATGTAAGGATCCTATTGCAAGGAAAGGAAAGCCCGAACTACTCAAGGCTTTGGGCCAGGTCTTTAAGGATTAGGGTTGGGCCTCCAACGCCCACCTTGGTCTACCTCGTGGTTGTCAGAAGTTTTGCTGTTCGTGTAGTATGATGAGGCAGAGACCGGAGGTAAACGCCATTCTTGTGGCTGTGATCCTCACGCTGTCCTTATCGTATCCCTGACAGAATCGCGCAGCATTTCGTTTAAGGACTTCGCATCACTGGCGGCAAACGCTGTTTTAAACTAAAGCCGGCAGGTGATCGGCTCCACGCCACGAAGCCTGCTGATCCACCTCGGCTTGGAAAAAGACCCCGGCAGCGCTCTCGGACACAGTTTGCTTGAACGTTCAACCTCACTTGCTTCGGGGTTTAGGGTGTCTTTAGGCTGTCAGTCTACGAGTCTACATTACAAGGGTTTAGGTGTTTCTTCGGACAATAGGCGCCCATGGCGCGGGCTGGTACCCCAGCAGGGAGCTTCACGTGAGCATGTAGAAAGGTCCGCGCATGGCACGGGGCTAAGCCGAGGACCCTGCATCGGAAGGAGGGCTCGGAGGGTCCTCCGGGAACATCATACCAACCAAACAAGCAACCAAGCCAGCAACCGATGAATCCCAGTGCGATACGCTCAAGTGTTTCAAGGGTGCAGGAGCGTATCGCCATGGATCTCTTGTAAGTTTCCTGCGATGCAAGCGAAGACTCTTGATGCTGGGCTGCTGACTATACTTGCCTGTGTGGTGAAGATTGCTCACTCTTGCATTAGAGGGGATGGGAACTTGGGAGAAGTTGCCATGAAACGATGCAGAAGGAAAAGCTCACCTAAGAAAGCAGCCTGCGTGACCCGACCCGAAACTTAGGGGGTGCATGCATAGCGATACTAACGGGGTTTGGTAGGCGGCGCGTTTCGGTTTGCGACGCATGTATGGTCGAAACAGGCAAAAGTTTGACAGAGGCCGACAACGGCTGCTCCGTTCAATCTGTTTGATAATTTCTTTCGACAGTGGCAGCTAGGGACACAAGAAGAATCTCAGCCAGGGACACAAGAAGTATCTCCATGCTGACATTTTGTGCGGTTGCTGGGCAAACCTAGGGGCATGAGTTTTTTTTTGCATGGATCTGTGTGCAGGCAGCTCCGAAGGAAGCGATATGGACCGGAAGTCAGAGAGCATTCCGGAGGCTCGCACATCACGGACCAAGAGAAGCCCGAGCCTTAGATCTGAAGACTTACCTTTACCATCAATTCATTGTCCAAAGAGATCAGCGCAAACCGTGTGCTAGTACTACTGCTACAACTACTGCTACTGCTACTCCTACTACAACTGCAAGTACAACTACAACTACTACTTTACTACTAACACTACTAATACTACTAGTACTCCTAATACTTCTAATACTACTACTAATACTACTACTAACTTTTACTACTACGACTACTACTACTACTACTACTACTACTACTACTACTACTACTACTACTACTAGTGCTACTGCTACTGCTACTACTACTACTACTACTACTACTGCCACTACTACTCCTACTACTACTACTACTACTACTACCACTACTACTACGACTACAACTACGACTACGACGACGACGACTACTACTACTACTACTGCTACTACTATTACTACTACTACTACTGCTGCTCCTGCTCCTTCTACTACTACTACTACTACTGCTACTACCACTACGACGACGACTACTACTACTTCTACTGCTACAAATATCAACGTGCACCTGTGGAAAGATGCGCCCAGAAGTTCAGAAGCTTTACCTCATGCATCAGCGCAAACCGTCGCTACGATTGCTACTTCTACTACTGCCAGTACTACTACTATTACTACTACTACTACTACTACTACTACTACTACTACTACTACTACTACCACCGCCACTATCACTATCACTACCACTACCACTACCACTACCACTACCACTACCACTACCACTACGACTTCTTCTTCTACTTCTTCAACTACCATTTCTGGTACTACTACTGCTCCTCCTCCTGCTGCTGCTGTTGCCGCCACTATGACTAAGTACCAGCAGTACTGCTGCCGCGTCCACCCCCCAAAACGGAATGCAGCCGCAACCTGCTTTATCATACTCTGCTCATTAGACGATCCCAAACAACGGATGTTTTCAAATTCTTGGCGAACGCTGATGCATGTTAGTCAGGGTTGGTGTTCGCGGTTTGTCAGTTTGTTTCTCTTGAGTGTTTGTCGCTGCAGCACGCAGAAGTGCCTGATTGGGGCAATCATGACTCGTAACAGTCATCAGGGCCACCGTCGGCATTATCATCACCATCTGTCGTTTTCATCACACCCTTCGTCGTCATGCTGTAATTCAGCCAGATATAGATAGAAAAAAGCATGCACCTTCCTATACAGCCCCCGGGAAGGGGAGGCCGGTAGCTTTTCAACCTCTAGTCCTGCAACAAACAAACCCTGACGGTGCATCCTTCCAACATACAGCCCCACGTCAGTGGAGGCCGGTAAGTCAATTGTTGTGTTTATTAGTTGCAAGAGCGTCATAGCTCGTAGATTGCAACAACCCTAACAACCCCCCGAAAATCTTCAACACTTGCACTTCTGAACCGAAATGCCTGAACTGCTTAAAACCACAATCCTGATGAACAGATGGCCACACGTTTAGACCGTTTGTATGAATGTGTTGCGCAGATGCCTTTCGGCCAGGAGCATGCAAGACAAATTGGAAGTAGGTCAGTTTGTTGGTTACGGCAGACCAAAGGAGTGTGGTCATTAAGCGGACGCATGGGGTCAGACGGTTGGTGCGGTGTGGGCTGTGCAGATGCCTTCCGGTCAACAGCATGCATGCCAAATGCACAGGAGTTCATTGTGTTTGTCAGAAGTCCGACGTGGTCATTGATGCCCGCATGGGGTCAGACTTTTGGTGTGGGCTGTGCAAATGCGTTCCGGCCAACAGCATGCATGCATTGTGTTTGTCAGAAGTCCGACGTGGTCATTGATGGCCGCATGGGGTCAGACTTTTGGTGTGGGCTGTGCAAATGCCTTCCGGCCAGCAGCATGCATGCCAAATGTACAGGAGTTCATTGTGTTTGTCAGAAGTCCGACGTGGTCATTGATGGCCGCATGGGGTCAGACTTTTGGTTGGGTGTGGGCTGTGCAAATGCCTTCCGGCCAACAGCATGCATGCCAAATGCACAGGAGTTCAGTGTGTTTGTCAGAAGTCCGACGTGGTCATTGATGGCCGCATGGGGTCAGACTTTTGGTGGGGTTTGGGATGTGCAAATGCCTTCCGGCCTACAGCATGCATGCCAAGTGAACAGGAGTTCATTGTGTTTGTCAGATGCCCGACGTGGTCATTGATGGCCGCATGGGGTCACGCTTTTGGTGGGGTGTGGGCTGTGCAAATGCCTTCCGGCCAACAGCATGCATGCCAAATGCACAGGAGTTCATTGTGTTTCTCAGAGGCCCGACATGGTCATTGATGGCCGCATGGGGGCAGACTTTGGGTGGGGTGTGGGCTGTGCAGATGCCTTCCGGCCAACAGCATGCAAGACAAATGGGAAGGAGGTCATTTTGTTGGTTACGGCAGACAAAAAGAGTGTGGTCATTAGATGGCAGCATGGGGTCACACTTTTGGTGGGGTGTGGGCTGTGCAGATGCCTTCCGGCCAACAGCATGCATGCCACATGGGAAGGTTGTCATTTTGTTGGTCAAGGCAGACCAAAGTAGTGTGGTGATCGGATGGCCGCATGATCGGGTGCCAAGACGCGGGCCAGGAGCCTTCGACCACGAGGCATGGCTGAGAAGACGTTACGTGAGACGTCGGCGAGCTTTGCGCTCCGATCAGCAAGATCAGAAGAGTTTCTGTGGCCCGCCGCAACACAACCTTGACGAGCAGCGATTCCCAAACGCGTTGCCATCGTCCATCGTAAGGGTGTCATACAATGGTCACGCACAACATTGTGGCGAATCCTCTGCTGAACACTAGTTGACTGTGCTGGCAGACCTGAGGAAAAGCAAGAAAGGCGCGGCTTTCTTTGTGTTACTCGAATATGCTTGGTAGTTGTTCGTATTGCGCCCGTCAGGATGCCCAGCAATCCGACATGGACAAGAACAAACCTACTGAGTCGCGCGGCGGCATTCCATTTCTGGGTTGTGTCGCTCCTCTCTGTCTCCCTCTCCCTCTCTCTCTCTCTCTCTCTCTCTCTCTCTCTCTCCCTCTCACTCTCTCTCTTTCTGTCTCTCTTTTTATCTCTCTCTTTCTCTCTCTCCACGTGAAGAACGTGAAGACACTAAACTAAACATTGTAGTTGAGCCAATTATTCGATTGTCCCTTTCTCGGAAAGAAAAGCACGACACGAAGGGCCCCCACAACTGTGCGGGCTGTATTTTTGGAACTCTTTTGCTCGCTGTTTGTACTGCAAATATGTTATATGTTCGGAAGTTCATGCTATCAAGTCCCATGGTTGCTGTCTTTTAGAAGTCAGCCAAGTCAGGGTCGCTTGCCATATGCACTGGGACGCATCCGCTTGGTATCTCCAAAATTTGTTTGCCATTGGCACCGTTCTTGCGGTGTCATATGTCAGCTGGACAACCAATTTGGCGAAGTTTATGCAGACAATACTCGATTGAAGGTTCAAGGCATGTTTGCGCATGTTGTCGCCGAGGCATGATGGAGCCGGCCGCTCAGTTCAGTTGCGGACACCTGCTGTTCTGGCGGACGGACAGTTTGTTCTCTTTCGCAAGACAAGCACGGCTCCGAAGAGAGCGAAGGCTGCTGGCATGTATTGTTGTAATATGATACAAAGGTCAGGTGGTTTCGAGCTCCCTGTTTTGCTTGGTCACTTTTGATTAACCTTAGGCAAAGTCTCGAAGGCATCTGAGATCCTGCAAAGTGCAAGCCTGTTGGAATCGGACCAGCGGAACAAATTCTTGATCTAATTGCAAGTGCTCATTGTATTCATTGGTGCTGGCTGCTGCTGTAACAACTGTTCGTGTGAAGCCGCCATCGCTATTGCTGTTGCCTACTTTGCTGCTCCTGCTGCTTCTGTTGATGTTGCTACCGTCCTGGTGGCATGCAACTTCTCAACAAAAGTTGGTTTGTATTGACACTTGGGGAACATATCTGGCGTTTGCCCAGGCCATCTATTGCAAGCATTGCCAGATGTGGTTGAATGGACCCGCACAGCCGGGGGACTCAACGCGTTGCTGGGGTTTGTGGCCGTTTCGACTTGGCAGGTGCAGAGCTTGGATGCGCGTTTTCAATTTTTAAACTTGCGGTGTGCATCCATGCCGTCTCCGGGCTTTGGACGAGGACTGCAGGCCGTTGACACAGATTTCTGCGTGTACATGTGAAACAATAATGGGTTTTCACTAAGGGATTCAGGAGTCAGATAGGGCCGAACGACATCAGATGATGCAGCAGTTGAGGGTACCGTAAGAATGAAGAGCGATGAGGACCACCACGTTGATGACGATGTTTGTGGTTATCAGTAAGTTAGTGATAGCATACGATGCTGGGGGAGGACTCGGTAGGGGAAGAGGATGATAATGCTAAAAATCCGTTCGTGTAGTAACGGGAGGTGGGGCGTCTTGGAGCTCGTGGTTGTTGAGTCTTGTAGCTTTGGTTTGAGGGGATTTGGCGGTGCACCTCGGACACGCATTGGTGGGCTTCAAAGTTGAGGCTTGGGTGTGTCGTCGGGCTTTGGGTTTGGAGTCGTTAAGCCTGTGGTTGGAGGCGAATTGAAGTCCTTACACGCGAAGTCTATGCAGGTTGAGCTGTGCAGATTTTGTTGCATGCTTTGCAGCGCCGCAGTTGCTTGTGAGTAAGCCATCCAAGCATCCCGTGTGACGAGTTGGGCGCTTAAGAACCAAGGTGGGCAGATCACGAGATTGGAAAGAAGCATCGCAAAGCCGTGCGCAGACAGCAGGCAGGAATCTAAGTCAGGAAGGCCAGCGAGTGATGTTCTTCCAGCAGCTGCGGAGAGCTCGTCATCCTTGCCAGGTGGAAAGATATTCCGGCAAGTTCCCGGACTTCTCAGCACTGCCCTGAGTATCTTGTGCAACAGGCAGGAAGGCCAGCCGAGAGTGCAAGTTTGCATTTCATCTTACGTTTGGCCAAGTTATTATCTCTTCAACTCGTCTAAGTTGAGCACAAATCCATGCAGATACTTCACCTGTTGTCAGGTTTCGGAGAAGATCCCCGCGCCGCCAGAGGGCTTTGGAAAGAGGACGTTTGAAAAGGCCCATACAGGGTGGTAGTTGCAGCACCTTCTGAGATATCGGTTGCTTCTTTTGCGATGTAAGTGCCCCTCTGCATCTCCACGAGCCACCTTCAAGGCGAAGCTGCACCAAGTTTTCGGTCGGACAGTCGGTTCCTAAGTGACCTAAGTGTCACCACTTCGCAAATATACACAGGGACCCGCATGCACACACACACACACACACACACACAGACTGACGCGCGCGCAGAGACAAACAATCACCGACCGTCGTGGCAGGGCATCGACGAAGACCCGCCGGACGACATGCAGGCACCTTGCTCCGACGCAGCATTTCCGAGGTTAAATAAGGGACACCTGGTACGTGTGTAAGATGTTTGTCTATGTTGATATGCGCACGCAATGCCGTACGTAAGCAAGGACATCTATTTAAATAAATCTGCAATTCATCAGCATCTTCTACCTGCATGTCTAGATATCCACACAAACAGGTACATCCAGAAAGCCTTTAACAATCAGATCTGCTGACAGCTTCGGAAATGTTGAATTTGAAAGCCGGGGAAGAGGGGCCAGGGGTGAAAATTGTGCAGAACCGTTCGAGATTCCACCAGAGTACACTGCAGATGTCCGGGCTTGGGACGATGGTTGTTCTACATTAGGGCTACTTCTGGGGGTGCCTAGTGAGAGTTGTCAGGTGGGGAAGCCCAGTGCAGTTCTGCGTTTAACACAGAACAAGCACTGGCCCTGAAGACGCACAGCCTGGATCCTGAGCGACTAGATCCCCGTAAACAGTTACAGTTGTTTTATGATCTCTTCCATTCTGTGCTTAAGTCATCAGACCAGTTGAATATTTTTGGAAGTAGCTGATTCGCTAGTTGTTCAAGTATTTAATTAGCTAAGTAACTTGTCTAACGGGATATTCAATCATAGACCGCAGCTAATGACGCGCGGACCGCCTCTCGGCCCCAGCCCGGATCCGATGGCAGGCAGACCGGGACAGCATTTCACAGGTGGAGGTTGGCACCTCAGGCAGTTTAGTATAAGGGCCGATTCTTTTGGGTTCCTTGTTATGGAAATACTATGATCTACTAGAGCTCACTCGAAACCCTCTTCTGGCTATTAAGGCCCCAATATCAGGCTAGGGTTTAGAAGTTAGGGTTGGGGCTTCCATGCACCCTAGACCACAAAAGCCTGAGGGTTGACACCTCGGATTTCGGTGCCGGGTTGACGCTTCATGTTCAGAAAGCCTTAGAGTCTTGATTTCAGGGTTTAGGGAATGACGTTGGGGTGCGTGGGCTTGGGCGGTGGGTTGGAACACCCCAGAACTCGCTGGCTTGAGCCTTCAACTTCGAGAACCCTACACACAATACCCCTGACCCCAAAACGAGGCTCTCTAGACCTTCTGCGGAATAGAAAGCGGCCCTTTAAAGCAAACTGGCTCCTTCTGGATGCCGTTGTAAGTCCCGGGCTCTGACTTCGAAGCCACGTTTCCTGGCCTAGGGATCTGCCCAGTCCGAGCAGCTGGACTTCGAAGGCTCGTTCGAGTTCAGCAGCAGCAGCAGCAGCAGTAGTAGTAGGGTTTAGGGTTTAGGTGGTGGTAGTAGTAGTAGTAGGAGGAGGAGGAGGAGGAGTAGGAGTAGGAGTAGGAGTAATAGCCGTAGTAGTAGTAGTAGTAGTAGTAGTAGTAGTAGTAGTAGTAGTAGTAGTAGTAGTAGTAGTAGTAGTAGTAGTGGTAGTAGTAGTAGTAGTGGTAGTAGTAGTAGTAGTAGTAGTGGTAGTAGTAGTAGTTGTAGTAGTAGCAGTAGTAGTAGTAGTAGTAGCAGTAGCAGCAGCAGTAGTAGTAGTAGCAGCTGTGGTAGTGGTAGTGGTAGTTTTAGTGCTAGCGGTTTAGGGCTTAACTGTTTAGAGCTTCGTGGTGAAGAGTTTCGGGGGTGCCTTTGGGATTTGGAGTTACGGGTGGGGAGCAGCGGAGGCTTGTATAAGGGGTTCTTGCTTCAGGTGTGTTTTGGCAGGAAGCTCGAGGCTAAATGTGCTGTAAACCCCAGGGGTAAGGCCTCATCAGACGCGAGTTTTGTCTGCAACCCGCTGCATGGCCTCTCCTGGTTGCAACAACACAAACCCACCCGCTTGAAACTCAGCAGCCTCGGCCAGGGCGTACCACAGTAGTAAGCTCAATCCCATGCCTAACCCCGACGCCTTGAAAGCCATCATTCAAAATCCAGCTGTCCCAAGATCAGCAGCGGTTTGGCGAGACTGAGTGCCTGCCACGGTTTGCTCAAGTGTGAGGGGTTACATATCGGTGCTTATCAGCCTTTGACGTTTTCATCCCAGAGGGTCCTTCACTTCGGACATTGGAATGGGTGGACTTAGATTTCGCAGCGTAGGCTGTTCTGGGTTTTCGGGCATTGGCCAGGCATAGGGCCGGGGATCTGAATATTTCGAGGTTTACGGTGCAGTGAGCCTGAGGCAATCAGTGTTTTCGAGACTGATTCAAGTCGGGCATGCGCAGGTCCTACATTTCAGGGCTTCAGGCTCTGAGTTTAGTATAATTAAGATGGTATCGGCGCCATGCACCAGAAACCAGAGCCTTAAATCGAAACCCCCCTAAACCACGAACCCCAGGAGTGAGAGTCAGAGTGATCGTGAGAGTGAGAGGAGAAAGAGTCAGGTGAGAGCGAGAGCGCGAGGAGAGAGAGTCAGAGTAAGAGTAAGGAGTAGGAGTAAGAGTCAGAGAAAGAGCAATACTGAATAACAACTTTTCAACAGCAATTCTATACTAGGTTAGGGTTTAGAGTCTACGGGTTTGGGTTTGGGGAGCTACCCCAAAGCCATGTTCTAGTCCTGCAGGCTTCTAAAGTAGGATCTGCTCGCTTGCCAAGGCATGACGCAGCCAGCAGCTAAGTCAAGCCGCAACGCGTTAGGAGTTTGTGGGTTTTTTAAAGCTTCGGGCCTGTAAAGACTATATATGGTTATTATGGGACTAGGGTTAGGACTTTAGGGCTTGAGGTTATGGGAGTGGGGTGTTGTGGCTTGCTTAGGGCATGTAGTGTTTTGGGGCTTTTAGCGGGTATTAGGGGCTTCAAGTTTTACTTAGGGTTAGGGTGTCGGGTTCATGCGGCCCTGCGCAGCCTGCATGCACAAGCAAGCAACAAAAGCAGCAATGTTCATAATGCGTAAAATCATCGTAGGAAAAACTCATGTACGAGCAGAGAGTATAGTTGAGTCGTTGCAGAATTCAATCAATAAAGGCGACTAGCATGCACAGACTATGCATCCACGTTGAGCGTCTCTTACGACAGGCCTTCTTTCCTCCCCGGCTGGATTGGAATATTTGGTAGCACTGCCCCCCTGTGGTTCGTATACGGATTGAGTTTGTGGTCATATAAACCTCAAAACCCTGTTCAAACATGTGCGGCCACGATGTTATAGGTTTCTGGTACCTACAAGTCCCAAAGCATGGTTCGCACATTCAGCACGAATTCGACCCGATGTGACGAAGAAGAAGCCAGGGACATGGTCCAGTCGCGCATACCGCAGAAAGGCCATGTGTCGTTTTGGAAGCTTCAAAGCCCATTTGGTCACAAACAGCCGATGCACCAAAGGCTTGCAGATGTCCCAAACCCTATGCATCATGTTCCCAAGTCTAACACCTTCCGCAGTCTCCGAGATCTTCCCCTCTGCCCTAAACCCTAAACCCTACTACCGAGGCCATCTACTGCAAGTACTGCCAGATGTGGTTGAACGGGCCGACACAGCAGGGACACTCGGGGACTGGCTGGGAGTTCGGCCTAGTTTCACGTTGTTGCATGGTGTAACTCCTTGATTAAGGAATATTCCTAAAATCATATTAGGGATCCTGCAAAAATTAATACTGCAATTTCTTATAGCCCAAAAGCCTTATTTGGTATGGTCTTTGGACCCAAAAGCCTTTTTTATGAGTCCTTAGATCCCTAGGGATTGGTGTCGGGCTTGGGCTTTTCATATCGGGCTCAGGGCAGGAAGTTTGAATTGAATCGTCTGGCATGAGGATCGCCGGTTGCAAGTCTGTGTAGTTTTCAAGGCTCCTGATTCTAACTATCGCACAATACACACATATACGTATGTGCACTCTCTCTCTCTCTATATACATATGTATAGATGTAGATGTATATATGCATATGCATATTTACTTATAGGAAATACATACATATTATATTCACGTGTGTATATGCACATATAAAAATATACATACACACACACTGTTTTCATTCTCGAGGCCCCAATGTTAAGCATACAGCCTGAACCCCTGTATTGAGACTGTAGCATCCGCTCGAACACGCCATAGACTGCTGAAGCAACCTCGGCTTCAGCTTGGATCAAAAGCCATAAACCACTGAATATCCCAAATCCTACACCGCGAACCCTCACACCCTAAAAGCCCTAAACTCCCGAAGCCCTAAACCCCAAACCCTACCTAGACCCCAAAAGCCATACACACCTGAACCCTAAATCGCCAAGGTGGGCAGATCACGAAATCGGCAAGAAGCACCAAAAGGCTGTGCGCAGAGCCGCGGCAGGAACCTAAGTCTAGACCGTGCAGCCGCGAGAGAGGTGTTCTGCAGCAGCCATAGTTTCGTTCAATGAGATATTGTATGGAATGCAGGCCAAGCCCGCGAGGAGGCACTAGAAAGCAGTAGGAATCCTTGTGTGATCCCGGACAGGGACCCTGACTTCCCTGTAGGAAGCTGCTGCTTGTTCCTTCCAGTCGATCGTTTCGCAGCTTCGGAGCTCACTGCGAACAGCTGAACCGGAATGATGCGATTTCGGGTTTGCGGTTCAATTGAAGGCGTTAGGGCGGTGGTTTCGTCGCAGGAGAGGATCCCATGAGCTGGTTATGGTTGGGACGAGACCGGGGCGACTAGGGCTTGGAGGGGCCTGAGGGTGTAAAATACGATTCAAAATGACCCGCCAAAAGCAACAGTTTCAGGAACAAGCAAGCCCGAATAGCCGCCTGAATAGCCACATTCAATAGTCGGATCCCAACGCAAAGATCCTTTTTGTAACCGCATCCATCGCCACCTTTCACCCCTAAGAAACCGCCCACAAGAATCCAGGGAACAGGCTCAGCTGATCCAATGGACTTCGACCAATCGCAAGGCCTTGTTGGCTGTCCGTCTACGGTTTGGTTGTTTGTTGAGCGAGGAGTGTTCCTGTTTAGGTTTAGGGGGCTTTCGGGTTTGGGTCAATCCAAAGCTGCTGTGGTTTGGACCTTGATGCGGCACCTAAACCCCGAAGCCGTGATGTTTTCGCTTTGAGGAGTCGTTGGTGAGAGCTCGTGCCCCAGACCTGAACCCTAAATCCTGAACCCGTACCCTTACCCCCAAGACCTCTAAGCCCCAGAGCCAAACACCAGAAACCTCCACGAGCCTTCACCACAGAACCTTTGAGCTCCACTGCACAAACCCGAACATAGGGGTCGCAAGAATTGGTGATGAGATGTCCCTTATAGTCCCTATAGTCCGTATAGTTCCTGTTGGTTTATACCGTATGCACAATCTACCCCAAAAGCCAACACTTTCGTGATATACCCCAAGGCCCTAAGTAGTCTAAGCTAATTGTAGTAGAATGTGTCCGAAAAGCCTGTTCGAACTGCTGGTATTATAATGTACCCAAACTTGAGACACGATCTCTAAGAAGCCTTGATCTCGCGAGACTCCTATTCCTGGACGCAGCAGCGGTATGACGATGGGTGCCTACCACAGCTACATCTAATACAGGGGCCTTAATGATTAGAATTCGGTTTTGGGGGGTAGACTTTAGCAGTCTCAGAATCAGGAACCGCCCAAAGAAAGAATGGGAGTAATTATTGAGGCTTCAAAATGTGCCAAAGTATGGATAATATGTGCCTTTTCTTCTAAACCTGCCTACCCAGGCTTCTTTTGTAGTCTAGGTTGAGGGTTCCTTGGCTCGGATATTGAATGGTGGTGAGGATTGTAGTTTGGGCAGTTTAGGGTGTTCGAGCTCTGGAGCGTGGTCGCTTCGGAGGAGTAAGGTTGGCATGGCGAATGATTTTTTGGCTGCGGTTTTGATGTGATCTAAACCTAACCTTATGAAGCTCTTTCTGACCAAAACGGCTTCAGATGAAGCGAGCGCGTGCAGTCATCATCACAGCCGTCGTTGTGCTGACTTTGAAGTTGACCTGCACGACCACAACCGCCCCCTTCAACCAGCCACCTGCCAAGCAATTTGGCATTGCACCAATGCCGCAGTCACCAGCATCTCCATCTCCACCAGCGCCAGTCACCACCATCGTCGTCATAACTCTTGGCCTGGCCCTGGATGCACGCGCCATATTTGGCACATGAGCCGTAACCGCATGGCTCCTTAGCGGAACTGGCCATAAATCAGAAGTGCGCCATGTATGCCACCTGCTGTGGGTCGCAACACACACCAATCTGGACAACTGGACGTCAGAAAGTGGAACTAACCCCAAAAGACGTGGCAGCCCAAAGCTAGGAAGAGTGAGCTCCAAGTCCGCAACTTTCAGTCAGTTTAGAGCCCCGGTGCTTGACATCATGCCACCGTACAGGTCAAAACTCCTCACCAGGACAATCGAAAGCCACAATTTCACTGATGCTTATGTGGTGATCATGGTGATGACAATGATGACCATGATTAAACGTCGTAACACAGTCATGGCGACGATGCGGGGGTTGCATGGGTTTCTGGTGTATTGGTCGCAGTGTTTCTCGCAACGCCGTTGCCAACACAGCGCCACTGTGGTAATACGTCTCACAGGTCGGTTGGCCGAAAAGTGTCGATTCCCGTCGTCGTGATCAGGTACCAATGGAAACCGCAGCTCATGCAGCAGCCGATGATGGGGAGCTCCTATGCCTACGCAGTACCAGGCGGGGCCCTAGCAGATTAGCCAGTAACAACACCCCCTAATCGTCCCGAGTGCAAGTTTAGTAGTGTGAAAGCGTTGATCGTCCTGTTTGGTGCCCCAAATCATTGCCGGAGTGGTACTCAAAAGTCACGCCGTCACAGGAACAGGTATTCAACACATGATGAACAGCGCAGCTGCCGTGGTGGTGCCCGTCGATTCTGGTGCTCTACTGCGACTGCTACCGCTGCTGCTCCCACACTGCTGCTATGGCGTGCTACAAATGCTGCTGTCGCGCCCGTTACAAGTCTCAATGCTGCCAACGGTTATCCATGATGAGCACATGACCTATGTATGTGTTGACCTTCAGTCAGCATTTCCAAGGCCTAGGATGCAGTGCAGATGCTTGCAGCGAAGGCCCGCCGCCGTACGACTCGGCAAGCGCTTCCGACCTCCAGTTGCAGTGAGGCCTTGCAGCCTGCTGCCACCCGTCCAATGAGGAGCGTGTGACCGGCAACCGTCAATGTTTGATGGTCGAAATACTGGTGCATGAGATACCATAAGTGACATGCCGCAAGTAATGCATATACCAAGCGCAGGTGCTGATGCATGTGTGTGTGTGTGTGCGCGCCACAGTTGCATACATCTTATCAGCCAGCTCGTTCTTCTTGCAATCAGTTAGAGCCGCCAGGATAATTGCCATGGCAATGTGAAATCAAGAGGGTGATCGCTACCTGACTGCTTCCAGAACACGAGACTAAATATTCAACGGCTCCTTGACAGCATCCGGCATTGTGAAGCGGTGAATTCACTTCTTGTTGCCACAGGTGCCAAACTTTACGCACCTGCAGTTTAACATGTTAGACCTGGCGGCAGCCACTGGGGTTAGGATAGTTATGCTCCTCCATAAGAGTCCTGCTGGGGACTCAGTGTGCCGTCACACGCCCCTGGAGTACCGACCGTGCCCCGAGATGCAGTGAGTCCTGTTACATTAGGAGTCGATGCTCAGGATCATGCGCACACCGTTGAGCGGAGAACCAGAAAGGAGCAACGGCAGATAAGCCTAAGGAGACGAGCATAGCCAACACAATGTCCTACGACCTGCTAATTACTGTCTTCACGTTGCACCTTTCTTGGTCCTCTGTACGGTTGAGTCATCGCCGTTCAAGTACGGCGCCGGTTGCCTCAAGGCATAGCAAAATCAGAGGAAGAGCTCAGAAACGGAGCCGCAACGGCGCCGCAACGACAGGACCTGAGATGGAGCCTCATTGCACCTTGGAATTGTAGCCGAGGTCCCAAGCTCAGCACTGTCTACTTTGATCTAGGAATCTATGCTGTTAGCAAACTCAACAGTAGTAGAGGAGAAAGGCATACATGAAGACACGGCAGCTGGCTTCTTATTCGAAGCCTGATCCATAATGACTGGCACCTGCGGCATCTGAATGAATCATTGTTAGATAGACTCCTGAGAAGAGTCTTCCGCCTTCCTGGTTCCGCTCTCAGACCCGTTGCAGAAGAGAGTGTCCGCATCGATGCTGTTTGGGAACGGACGCGGATGTTATTCGGAAAACAATTACTTACCTGTCAGAGACTTGGAGATTCTCAGTCCCAGCGTAGCCTTCGTTCGCAGAATCAGCATGTCGTGTCGGGGCGGGGTCACTGTTTTGTCCAGACACGTCCCCATCGTCCCAATCGTTCCGCCCCTGACCCGCATCAATGCTGACCCACTTGTAGTGGCAAGTGTATGTCAGTGCCATTGCTGTAGCCTTGGTAGCTGAAACGCTTGGGTACCACAAACCGCATCATACCCATCCTGTTTCCCAAATGCTTCGCCAGCGGACATGGGTCTAGTAGTGGTCACACCTGTGCCGTGAAGGCGAGTGGCGATCTGGTTTGCTTCGGAAGCAATGAAAAGGCAGTGCGATGTGCCGCCAGGCTAGGTGGCACCAACGGTGCGTTCGAGTCGGTATGGACAGTGGAGCTTGTATTGTAAATTATCCATGATCTTGTAGACGAAGACCCCTTGTCGATTTAGAGTCAGCCTGGTATTCCGACCTGGGTTTTCTTGCTCTCTGTCTGGCTTTGTATATGGCATGGTCCTCAAACTTCGGAGCGTAGCGCTTAGGGATTTATGCAGGGTTCAGGGAACGAGATGGCTCCTTGACACCTTGCCACCCATCCCCAGCCCACCACCGACACTGCAGATTCGCATCACAGGCATTAGGGGCAACTGCGATGTTTTTCATTTCACGGCGACCCTAAACCCCGAGACCCTAAAACAAGCAGCAAGCTCCAAATGTCTTTCCTGCACTGAACGTCGGAAGCCTGTGCTCGTTGGGCGCGGAAGTTCTGGCAAACCCCCCCTCGCAGGGAAGAACAAGGACGCTTGGCTTGTGAAGGTTATTCGGGTTGAAGGGCCTTAGACATACTAGTAGTCGTCATGCTTTCTCCGCTGTCTCCCGATCCTGAGACAAGATCGCCTGTCGCGCCAGCTCCGGAGCCAGCCTCACTGACGTGATTCCCAAGTTGTGGGCAGTCAAAGATCTTTATCTTTGGCTTTGTGTCTCAGGATCTTTGGCTTGGGTCTCAGAGTAATTACACATAGGCCCTGGGCTCGAATTAGGCTCTTTGTGAGTCTTTGTCGCTGCACAGATGCCTGTCACCCGGTGAAGCGCCTTCAGTGGGAAGAGCTGTCAGAGGTATGGCCAGCTGGTGCTCATTCAACTTTTGCAGAAGGAGAGTGAGTGTCAGATGGCTCAGTTTGATCATCCAACATGGTGCAACTGCCTGGACTGAAGCATGTAAGACTGGGCTGCAGCCCAAACCCGCCAACATTGCGTGCCTTCAACCTTCTGGAGACGGTCGCTGCATGTCTGAGAAGCTCATCAGCAGCAAGCTTTAGTATGAGAACATGGTCAACCACCAAGTTCGTTTCCGTGTCTCAAAACCAGGGTCGGCATGTGAAGAAGCACCCTACACGCTAAGCCGAGGAGGCTGCTGGCTCGTTTTGCATCGCGTTCCGCGGACCACGCGACGTTCATAAGCCTAAACCGTGAAACCAGCCTAAACTGAAGCCCGAAGCCCTCAGGCCGAATTGTTGCTGTTATTCTCGCTGCGTGATCATCAACAAGACGAAAGTTAGCATGATCGAGCCGAGCAAGTAAGATTCAAAACGACATGCCAGATATTGTTCTCGTTTTACTTTGCAGAAGCAGCAGACCCATAAACCCGCACCTTCAGCGACAAAGCCTGCATACCAAAACTCGTATCCTGAACCCGGAAACGACCAGCATGATTCTTGTTGCCATTATCCGGTGCGCACTGCAAACGAAGAGTTCGACAGAGCCTTCTCAGAAAGCAGCAATCGGCTCATTGAGCAGAGGTTGAAAAACGACCCAGCAAACAGAGTGCAGATACACTTCTACCGTAGGGTATGGTCGATGACTCTGGAAAGCAATGGCCTAGCTCACGGTTTGGGCTGCAATAGTTGGGTTTTGGGCTCAAAGTCTGCGTTATCTCCAACATGTTACAGGGTTCGAAGGCCTGGAACCAGGCATGCTCCCTTGTCTCGAGTGCACAAGAGCGCCATCTTTTCAGAGTGGCCATACCATACCCTCTCAGCTAGGGCTGGGCATTGTCTGATCTATCTTGCAAGTCCTTGGAAACAAGCGACGTGGCCGCCTTCGTGAGTGACTTCTACTTTGCCAAGTCGATTGCAAGGTGGACTTGACTTGTATTTCTCAGCAGCGCTTTGCTAAAAGCAAGAAGGACCATCTTCTACTATCCAACTGGTTTATCCTTCGATGTAGCTCTATCGCAAACCCAGGGCCTGTATATCGCGGACCTTTGGGAACGGGACTGGGATCACTGGGCGCAGGGCGAGCGTATGGAAAGGTTTTTTACAGATTCTATTGAAACTGAAACAGTCTAAACCCTAATACACGATCTTCACCTTAAGCCATGCCTGGCCACTCCGAGTGTCCAAGGAATTCGCTGAGCCGTGGGCTCCTCTGTACCATTATTTTCCTTGAAACCAACATGCAGCTTGAAAGAACGTCCCATTATCAAACACTGCCTTCTTGAATGGGGAACCTGAAAAATCGGTCCATTGTCAACCACTGTCCTTCTAAATGGCTCCCTTTCAAGAAGGTAGTGTTTGATAATGGGACGTTCTTTCAGGCTGCATGTTGGTTTCGAAGAGGATAGCTTGTCGTGCAAGGATCCTCGCACCCTTCCTAGAGCAAGTAATTAAACATCATCATAAGAGTACCCTCGAAGACCCTCCTAGTAAACCCTCCAACCCTCCTTTTCCGACCTTCTGGTTGAATTCATCGTCTTGTGACAGGGCGGTATCTTCACGGATGTCTTGGAGGACAACCAATGGGATGGTGGCTGGGCCCGAGTGGGCCCGCAGTGGGCTCGGTGGGGTCGGCCGGTGGCCCGGTTGGGATGGTGAGGTTCCGTGCTATTCCGTGCTATGCGTGCAGGAAATGTGCATCGCGCCTTCTCGTCTCTCTGCGGGGGGGGCGTCTTGTGGGATGGTTGGCATGGTAAGGTTCGGAGGGGCCGCGTTCTTTTGTGGGGGTGATTTGCGTGCAGGTGGCTTTTTCTCGGAAAGCCACAGTATGATAACCGGTTTTGATTCAGAAATGCTAAGCGCGCTGGCACATTATGTGGGCGCGTGACCAGGGGTGCGAACACACCTGGCTCCGATCTGGACTTCGTAAGTCTGGGCAAGTGTCTGCGATGCGTCATCGCACACAGTGAACCCATGCCTGGCATGGACGCTGGAGCATGCTGCATAGTGTATGCATGCGACCATGTTGAGGCCCTGGTTCTTGTTTGAACAACTCTGCACGACGTAGTCGATTCAGTGAGTGAGTTTCGACTCCGAGAACCTAACTATCCTGGAGGTCGTGCATTGTGCATGGCAGTGAAGGGGCTAGTGTGTCCCTTTGAGTTTTGGCCGGAGGTGATGCTTTGCATGTGGACATAGAGTCCCGTGACGTTTCAGTTTGAACTTGCAAGCTTGCAGGATGAAGTGGCCTTCCGACATCCATCGCTAGCTCGTTGATTTATTAGCGGGCATTCGTTCAGCTTGTACCGAGGTTCAAGGATCTGCATCTTATATCTTCCATCTTCATCTTGCTGGGGAAGGGAGAGGGGGAGAGTAAATCCCTGTTATGGTCCCTAATATACGTACCGTATAGTAGTCCTACTCTCCCTTCAGCACCAGCTCTTCTCATTTTCTTGATCTTGATCTTGATGCCATCATGACTGATCTATTCATCTATTCAATCTATTCTACCTTCAGCAGTCTGCGAGACTGTCACGGCGGGAAACGCTTCGGCACCGAGTGGCCGAGAATCCCAAAGCGGCTGTTGGGTGGGAGCGCCAAAAGTCTCAGGAGGAAGCCTCCTTGGGATGGGAAGGTGTGAGGTTGATCTAGGGGCTTCGGAATGCTCAA